TTATCCCCTACCCATCCCCCCACCACCCCCACAACACACCAAACTTTCCCCACTCTGCCCTTTCCCATGCACTTTACTCCCAATATTATAACGTTCCTATTACCCCCCAACCATCCCTCCCAATTTCCTCCCTACAAAACAAACAAACAACAAAATAAACTTTTTTCGGTGAGTGGGAGGAGGGGAAATCACATTATTTGGCCATGGATTAGAATTTATGCTTTTTTAACCAAATAAAAACTTGAATACTTTAATCAAATAAAAATTTGAAGACAAGATTATGAGACATTATTTAAAGAGAGCTGCTAATAAGAGCAATGATATCAATTTAAGGTAAATAATAAAAATCTGGCTGTGACAAGTTAGTGAGGGTACTTTCAGAAAGCTTTAATATACAAGAGTGGGCAAAAGTAGGTTTATAGTTGTGAGTATGCAAAAGTTTATTCTTGTATTATTATTTATTACTTATTGTATTTGTATCACAATTTTAAACCTACTGTTGCCCACCCCTGTACATACTGCACTTATCTTAAAGCAACCCCACACCTTGATATCAAAATAGTTGCCTAGAGCCTAGGAGTTCTATCTATCAAAGCCCTGAAGTCTCTTTAGACAAAAGACTTTTAATCAAATAGACCTAATCCCGTGTTGATGATCTACTTGAATTTTCCAAAATGTGTGGATAGACTAGAAAGAAAAACTCCACCGTATAACATAAATACCTTAAAGAAAAACAATCAGGTACAAATTACTTGTAGATAATCCCTCCCACCATAAGAATGTTCAAACTCTACTATCAACAAAACATCCAGGATATTTTACGGGCACAATCTGCAGTGTGGGGCATGCAGGAGGCAGCCAATCAATGGTTCTTTCTCATCAATGATGTTTCTATCTCTCTCACTCTCTATAATAAATAAAAATATATTTTTAAAAGTCCTACCCCAGTATGAGTCCTAATCTTGGGCCTGAGAATCTGTATTTCAATGAGTATCAGGTGATTTTTGGATGCAGCATTTAATAACATAGCAGAAAGCAAGAGTCTTGTTATACTTATATTTTTCTCCCAAACATCTAAAATAAAGAGCGCCTGAGCCCTAGCCAGTTTTGCTCAGTGGATAGAGCATCAGCCTGCGGACTGAATGACCCCAGGTTTGATTCTGGTCAAAGACACATGCCTGGGTTTCGGTCTCGATCCTCAGTAGGGGGAGTGCTGGAGGCAGTTGATCAATGATCCTCTCTCATCCTTGATGTTTCTCTCTCTCTCTCTCTCTCCCCCCCCCACCCCTTCCTCTCTGAAATCAATAAAAATATATTAGAAAAAAAAGAAAAAGAAAAAGTGCCAGACACAGGTACAGGTACTTGATGTTTTGTTGAATGTATGAAAGTGTCACCTGGGGAGAAAAAAAGTCACATATTTTTTTAAATCCATTTTTTAAAAAAATCTTTATTGCCGAATCGGTTTGGCTCAATGGATAGAGCGTCAGCCTGCGGACTCAAGGGTCCCAGGTTCAATTCCGATCAAGGGCATGTATCTTGGTTTCGGGCACATCCCCACTGGGGGGGCGTGCAGGAGGCAGCTGATCGATCTCTCTTCTCTCATCAATGTTTCTAACTCTCTATCCCTCTCCCTCTTCTCTGTAAAAAATCAATAAAATATATTTTTTAAAAAAATCTTTATTGTTGCCAAAACCGGTTTGGCTCAGTGGATGGAGCGTCGGCCTGCGGACTGGGGGGTCCCGGGTTCGATTCCGGTCAAGGGCATGTACCTGGGTTGCGGGCACATCCCCAGTAGGGAGTGTGCAGGAGGCGGCTGATCGATGTTTCTCTCTCATCGATGTTTCTAACTCTCTATCTCTCTCCCTTCCTCTCTGTAAAGAATCAATGGAATATATTTAAAAAAAAAATCTTTATTGTTGAAAATGTTACATATGTCTCCCCCCCATTGAAGTCTCCCTACCCGCTCCCGCCCCCAAAAAACCCATTTGTTAAAAAAATAATAAAGGCTTATCAAATCGAAGTAGGAAACCAACTCCCTTATATTGTCTTAAAATAATGAAAAAACGACAGCTGTACATAGAAATATTAGAGGTTAATACATTGGAATAAGGTAAGTTAAATTGAGCAGGGGTTCATAACAGGCTGCTTGATTTTTATTTATTTATTTTTAAAATATATTTTATTGATTTTTTTTTTACAGGGAAGAAGGAAGAGGGATAAAGAGTTAGAAACATCGATGAGAGAGAACCATCGATCAGCTGCCTCCTGCACACTCCCCACTGGGTATGTGCCCGCAACCCAGGTACATGCCCTTGACCGGAATCGAACCCGGGACCCTCGAGTCCGCAGGCCGACGCTCTATCCACTGAGCCAAACCGACCCGGGCTTGATTTTTATTTTTAATTTGTAGGAAAATTTCAGAAAAGTAATGTCATTTTATGAAATGTCAACTTTAATAAGAATAAAAATTGGTAGGCAGGTAGTGTGGTATACATAATTATCAAGCCAACAGTTTCAGTGAGGAAGAAACCATTAGTTGTACTGATTCCTGTCTTCAGAAAGCTTTGTTACTTTTATTTTTTTTAATATATTTTATTGATTTTTTACATAGAGGAGGGGAGAGAGATAGAGAGTCAGAAACATCGATGAGAGAGAAACAGCGATCAGCTGCCTCCTGCACATCTCCTACTGGGGATGTGCCCGCAACCTAGGTACATGCCCTTGACCGGAATCGAACCCGGGACCTTTCAGTCCGCAGGCCGACGCTCTATTCACTGAGCCAAACCGGTTTCGGCAGCTTTGTTACTTTTAATTAAATCATGTTAATCTCTTAGTTTCATTCATTCAAAAATACTTGGTACCTAGTAAGTGCCAGGCACTGTTCTCCAGTTTCTTCCCAACTACCAGGTGATCTCTAATATCCTTTTCAACTTTAAAATCCAACAGTTGGGATAGGAGGAGAAGGGTGTCCTAATATAAGGTGACAGGAGATGTGATTTTGGGTGGTGGGCAGAGTGTAATATACAGATCTTCTAACATAGAAACCCATACCTGAAACCTTATGTTCATGTTGACCAATGTCACCCCAATCAATTTAATAAATATATTTTTTTAAATAATAAAATAAGCCCTAGCCGGTTTGGCTCAGTTGATAGAGCGTCCGCCTGCGGACTGAGGGGTCCTGGGTTCGATTCTGGTTAAGGGCACATGCCCAGGTTGCAGGCTCAATCCCCAGTAGGGGGCGTGCAGGAGGCAACCAATCAATGATTCTCTCTCATCACTGATGTATCTATCTCCCTTCCTCTCTGAAATCAATAAAAATAATAATAATAAAATAAAATCCAACAGTTGTATAGTATCACCTAAGAGTTACTTATTTTGAAATCACTACCATTAGTAAAGATGCTGAAGTACAATAATTATTGTTATGAAACAGATTTTAGTGAATACTTATATATACCAAGCTGCTTTCTAAGTACCTTGTATGTACTAAATTAACGAACAATAAAAATCCTATGAGCCCTAGCCAGTTTGGCTCAGTGGATGGAACGTCGGCCTGCAGACTGAAGGGTCCCAGGTTCAACTCTGGCCAAGGGCACATGCCCGGGTTGCGGACTGGATCCCCAGTGGGGGCGTGCAGGAGGCAGCCAATCAATGATCCTCTCTCATCATTGATGTTTCTATCTCTACCTTTTCCTTCCTCTCTGAAATCAATAAAGATATTTTTTTTAAAAAATCCTATGAGATAGATACTAATATTCCCATTTTACGAGAGAAAACTTAAGTATACTTTTGCATGGGTAACTCAGGCATTCTGCATAATATGCTGTATAGTAACACTTGAATAGACTATGTATACATCACTTTCACAAACTTACCTCACCCAATTCTGAAAAATATATTATGGTAACACTGTATTGTTCTGGCATTAAATAAAAACAAGGAAGTTTAGAAATCACATTATCTTATATAATAAAAGCCTAATATGCAAAGTGTCCGACCGTTCACTCGACCAGTCACTATGATGCGCACAGACCACCAGGGGCAGACGCTCCGACAGGTAGGTTAGCTTGCTGCTGGAGTCTGGCCAATTAGGGCTGGGGGAGACGAGCTGGACATGCCCTGGAACCCTCCCGTGGTCCCTCCCGGGCCCCAATCATGCACCGGTGGGGTCCCTCAGCCTGGCCTGCGCCCTCTTCCAATCCAGGACCCCTCGGGGGATGTCAGCCGGTTTTGGCCCCATCCCCCGCAGGCCAGGCCGAGGGACCCCACCAGTGTACGAATCCATGCACCGGGTCTCTAGTAGTAGTAGTAGTAGTAGTAGTAGTAGAAATTGCTGAGTACTAGATACTTTCAGAAATGCAACCTCTGTAAGCCTTAACCTAATTAAGTAGCTATTAGATTATTTCTATTTTCCAAATGAAAACTGAGTATCTAATGGCCAATGTTCATTAAAAGTCATCTAAATAAGCAGCTGATTCAGAAGCTTGTACACTTAACACCTTATTGTAGAGTCTGATGGCCAATTTATGATTTAATTAATATGTACAACCATTAGCATACTTTTGTTGTTAATCCTCACCGGTGGATTTTTTCCCATAGATTTTTAGAGAGTGGAAAGGAGGAGAAGACACACAGAGAGGGAAACATCCTCCCACCTGGGGGATTTGAGCCTGCAACCAAGGTACATACCCTTGACCGGAATCGAATATGGGATGCTTCAGTCAGAGAGCTGATGCTCTATCCACTGAGCCAAACTGGCCAGGGCACACAGCATACTTTTTAATGTTTTGTTTCATGTCTTCAAATATTTCCTGGTAAGAATTCATAATCCTGACCAGAGCAAGATCATTCAAGAATGTTATGCTCTACTGGATTCAAAATTGCTACAATGCTTTGCACCTTGGCAGTAACAGGTAGACTGCCAACTCTGTAAATGTTTTATTTTTGTGACAACAATCTAGATCATCTCAACACCTAAAAATACTGGTAATCACCAAAATGCATAAAATAAAAACCAAAACCAAATTTTGGACATGCAAACATTTTTGTCATGTTACATCAAATGAATCTGAGAGACCACAGCGATGACAGAAAACAATTGCTCAGGTAGTTGAGTGTTGTCCCTTGCACAAAAGGTTGCTGGTTTGGTTCACCATCAGGGCACATACGTAGGTTACGGGTTCTATCCTTGGTCTGAGTGCATATGGGAGGCAACCGATGGATGTTTCTCTCACCTCATCTCTCTCTAAAATCAGTAAGAACATTCTTTTTAAAAATATTCCTCATAAACCCATGTTTAAGTGCTATGCCTTTGGCCAAATCCACAGTTTGACTTATTTTAAAATGTTAAAAATTCACCACCTAAAATATTTGCCTTTTCTGCAACTCTCAAACATAATTTGGCTTTCTCACAGATTGAAAATATTCTTTAAGAAATGTGAGTCTAGCCCAGCTGGTGTGGCTCAGTGGTTAAGCATCGACCTATGGATCAGGAGGTCATGGTTTGATTTCCCAACAGGGCACATGCCTGGGTTGCAGGCTCGATCCCCACGAGGGGCACTGCTGGAGGCAGCCAATCAATGATTCTCTCATCATTGATGTTTCTCTCTCCCTCTCCCTTCCTCTCTGAAATCAATAATAATAAAAGTTGCCCTAAGCGGTTTGGCTCAGTGGATAGAGCATCGGCCTGCGGACTGAAAGGTCCCAGGTTCAACTCCGGTCAAGGGCATGTACCTTGGTTGCAGGCACATCCCCAGTGTGGGGCGTGCAGGAGGCAGCTGATTGATGTTTCTCTCTCATCGATGTTTCTAACTCTATCCTTCTCCCTTCCTAAAAATCAATAAAATATGTATTTCAAAAAAAAGTTAATTTTTCCCAAGTTCCCATTAAAAAAAAGAAATGTGCCTATATTGTTACTATAAACAGGGATAACAATGACTAGAACATAAAATGTTATACACATAAAAGGAATGTTCAATAGAGAGTAATTTCGCTATTATAAATGCCAAGATGCTTTTCCTAGATATTCAAGATATTTTTCCTATGCCTGACAAACCTATTAGACTCCTAAGTTATAACCACTTTTACTTAATGTGCTTTAAAACAGATGATTTTAAATTTCTGCTTTTTATGATGTTATTGAGCAACTACCACTATTTACTTTTTTTTAAGAGACCATTATTTAAAAATATTTTTTTATTGACTTCAGAGAGGAAGGGAGAGGGAGATAAAAACATCAACGATGATGCCCTAGCTGGTTTGGCTCAGTGGATGGAGCGTCGGCCTGCGGACTGAAGGGTCCGAGGTTCGATTCCGGTCAAGGGCATGTACCTTGGTTGCGGGCACATACCCAGTGGGGAGTGTGCAGGAGGCAAACAATATGTCCCTCTGACGACCTCACTGCGATGTTGCTAACCCCCAACTCTTTTCCAGACTCCCTCCCTTCCATTCTCTAAAAATTAACAAAATATCCTCCATTGAGAATTAACAACAAAAAAGAATGCTTGGCCCTGGGTTAAGAATTTACAAAAAGGAATGTCTGGCCCTGGCCGGTTTGGCTCAGCGGATAGTGTCAGCCAGCAGACTGAAGTGTCCTGGGTTCGATTCCAGTCAAGGGCACGTGCTGGGTTTCAGGCTAGATCTCCAGTAGGGGGTGTGCAGGAGGCAGCCAAATCAATGATTCTCCCTCTCATCCTTGACATGTCTAGCTCTCTCTCCCTTCCTCTGTGAAAGCAATAAAAATATATTCAAAAAAAAAAAAGAATGTTTGCACACCAGGATAGGGTTCTATAGTAGACCTGTGTTTTTTTTTTTTTTTTTAAGTATGCTCATTTAAATGGAAAACATTTCATTTTCAGCCAAATCTTTACTGAAATAGTTTGAGCATTACTTTCTTTTTCAGAGGGACTGGAGAAAAACAGGTAAGTGATATGCTTTACTTCAAATGTAAATTTCTGGGGGTTTTTTTATGGAAGAGTCAAGTGGCTTTCTTCAAATCCACAAAAACAAGACATCAGAAACAATAGGTCAGTCTTTTTTTGCTTATTTGTTTATTTTTTTAATATATAGATTTATTTCAGAGAGGAAGGTAAAGGGAGAGAGACAGACAGACTGAGACTCAATGAGAATCATTGACTGGCTGCCTCTGGTACCGATCCATCTGTAACCCCATCAGCAACCCGGGCATGTGCCCTGACCAGAATCCAACGTGACCTCCTGGTTCATAGGTCATCGCTCAACCACTGAGCCATTGCGGCCCAGCAGTCGTTTATTTATTGAACAAATACAGACCTAGTACTACTATTTTCCAGGCACTGCGTAGGTTATAAGATTTTCAATTCTTGAAAGCCCAGGCTAAGATTTTCAATTAAGTTTACATGTACCTATTACATCTTTCTTTCATTTCTATAGGGTAGTCCAGAAAGCACATGAGATCGAAAACTGAAGTTAAACAACATAACTTCGAAAGAAGTACTTCTGAATTATACCAATAATTAGTAGCAACACCTCCAAGCTCAATATTCTAAGTCTTACAAAGCATTGTCCCTGACATCAATCACTACTTTGAACTACATTCTATTAGGATTTAAAGTCTGGTAACTAGGTAGATTCTTACCAGCAAAACAACCTATAGAAACCCACCGAACAAAACTCCCAAACTGTTTTCAAACAAAATATCCATTTGCTGGAGCCAACCTGAGATATTCCAAACTGTGACACTGACATACCAGAATGTCATGAAATAAACGTGTCTCAATCATCCTAAGTCTTTGCTTTCCTCCTACAAAACTGACCAAAAACCCAAGCCCTTAAAAACCAGAATTTTAAAATGTTTGAGTGTCTAAGATAACCGCTTAACGGCGTCTTTTTAAAATGCTCATTTTAAGGTCCTCCATCAAAACATAGCCTGTTACTGGAAAAGAATAACACAAACAAGAAAAACATAAACGGTTCAAAAAGCCCTCCAGATTAAAAAAAAAAAAAACACATAAAAAGGCGGGAATTTATTTCAAATTTTGGGTTAGAAATTAGTATGCACAAATTGCCTCCAGGGAGCGCTCTGAGACTCGGTTACCAGTCACCGCAGTTAAGAAAGCGGGAAAACGCTCGAAGGTAACCCGGGGCACTTTCGGGCTGACCCCCCCGAAGCGCTTTCGAAAAGGCTCGGCAGTCCCCCGCCCTAAGACCTGTCGCCGCGGACCTGCC